GAGCCCCGGGGACTCCCAGCCACCTCTGCAGCTGGGAGATCCGGGGTGATTTAAAGGCCCTGGGGCTCCCAGCCACAGCTGGTGCCCCAGGGCCTTTAAATCTTGAGAGGCCCCGCCTCTTCCAGTGGAGGCCACGCCCCCCTCAGGACTCCGGCCGTACCGGTAAGTCCTGTAAGTTATTTTCACCCCTTAGGTGACCTCCTGGCCCGGGAAAGAGACAAAGGCCAGAGAGGAGGGGCTGGAGAGTTTCAGTTTGGAGCTGGCTGGGGATGGGAAGTGAGGGCAGACGGGGTTGTCTGGCTCGCTGGGCCCCAGAATGGACCCGGCTGAGGGGCCCCGTTCACTGTACCTACAAGCTCTGTTTTAGACCGTGTTCCTGTCATCTAATAAACCTCTGTTTTACTGGCTGGCTAAGAGTCACGTCTGACTGCGAAGTGGGGGGTGCGTGCAGGACCCTCTGGCTTCCCCAGGACCCCACCTGGGCGGACTCGCTGTGGGAAGCACACGGAGGGGCATATGCTGAATGCTACAAGGTCAGACCCAGGAAGGAGAAGCCATGTGAGCTTCTTGCCCTGAAAACAGTCTGCTCCAAGGAAAGAAGGCTCCCCAAAGTCCTGACTGGCTTTGTGGGAAGCAGTTCCAGAGCATCGCCGGGGGACTCCGTGACAACTGGTGGCAGCAGTGGGATGTACTGCACCCCATGAATGGCGCTTCTTGCGGTAAGTGACTGGGAAGCAGTAAAATGAAGGGCGGATGAGGACCAGGAGTGCTGAAGGCTCAGAGAGGGACGGTTTCAAGGGGCGATTAACCCCTGGGAGTGCGTGACCAGCGAGAAGGACTGTTGGAGTAACGGGGTCTCCCTGGAGATTGCAGCGAGCGGTCCCAGGGGCGGAGAAGTCTGCAGCTCGACTCTGGCAAAGAGGTGTTGACCTCGAGAAGGGCTAGCACACTGGGGGGTCTTCCTGGAAACCGTGGGGGAGCTAAGAGCACAGGCCTGTGAGTCCAGAGCAACTTGGGAACAGCGGAGTGATGGCCTATCACCATCTCCTCAAGAAGGACATTGTGATCCTGTGCAAAAAAAGAGGGTTACGCATTGGAAAGTTCACCAAGGCCCAGTTAATCCTGCAGCTGGAGGATGAGGACCCTCTAAGGAGCAGATTCCTGACCCAGATGGGGCTACAAGAGAATCTGGGAGCAGCTGGAGCGGTAGCCAGGCATTCCCCAGAGTCTGGTCCCCAACCAGACGGGGGTCTTCACGATCGGGTTCCCCATCAGGGGATCAGAGATGGATGGGTTTGGAGTTGAGTCCAAGAGAGCAAGAGCCCAAGGAAAAGCTGCAGGAGAAGAA